TTCGTCTTTCGTTCCTTCTTTTTTTTTCTTTTTTTCCCCCTGCTGCTGCGTGTTTGCGTTCGCTGCTCGCATTTCCATGGGCGCTTCTCCGAGCGCCGGCCGTTCCCCTCCTTCGCTCGGCGCCTCCGCCGTTGCCGCCGTCCGCGCGAGTGTTGTGCCGGTCTGTTTAATTGCGCCTCCTCTTTCCTTCCTGCCTTCCTTCTCACCCCGCCCCCTCGCGCTGCGCCGAAGAGGGGCGGAGTTTCTGCGGAGCGCGACGGTGGCCCCGCGCCCCCGCAGCGTGTCTTCCGGCGTTGCCCGCGCTATGGCCGCGGCGACGTGCGGCTGCCCCCGGGACGCACTTCTGTGGGGGCACTGCCGCCGCACTGCGGGCGACTCGGCTGCTGCTCTGCGGCCCTGGCGGGTTCGGCGCCCTGCGAGGTGGTGCTAGGAGTCAGTATTTGGTCCCTGCGGCTTGCTGTCGGCCTTGGACGGCGGCGAGCGGGCTATTTTTTGGGTGGCGCCGCGTGTCGGGGCCTTTTTTTATTTTGTTTTCTCGCTGCCTTTCCGCCTCTGCCCGCGCCGACGAGAAGCGAAATCTCTCGCGCCGTGGATTCCTTAGTGGTAGCTTCTTCGGCTCGGTGGGGGCGTGGAATGGAACCTGACTCCCGCCCTGCGCGTCACCCGATGGGGGAGCTGGCGGTTTCCCAAACAAGGGAGAAGCGGATTCCTCTTTGGAGAAGCGGTTGGAGGAGGGGCAATCTCCGGTGCGTGTTCTCTTTGAGACTCCCTTCGCGGGGAGCCGGTGCGAGCGCTTTTGCCTGCTGCCATGGGGGTGGAAGGCGGTAGGGGGAATGTAGCGGTCGCCGGGGACGCTGGCGTGGATTGGCGTGGCGGCTTTGCATAAACTATGTGAGCCGGATTCTTGTGCCCTTTTTTGCATAAAAAAATTTCGTTATAGATGCTGCTTTGTTATTTATCCTGCCAGGGAGCGTCCATCACCTCGTGGGAAAATAAGAAACGCATGTACTGACCAAGAGCATCTGAGCAATTTTGTTGCTTCCATCGACTGTATACCGACGGGAAGTGATGCACCATGTTGTCATGGGGGGAGAGAGAAAGGGGGGGGGGGGGGAGCTGGCCGGACGCACTTTTTCTACTATAATGGGAGGAATCTTGGGTTCGGGGAAGAACAAGTTCGCGTCAAGGTACAAGGAGCGAGATGAAAAAAAGAATGCATGTAAAACAGGAAGACAGAGAGAGATTCGTTTCTTCTTGACTACATTAGCCATTGACAGCAGGGAGAATTGAAGAGGAACCTTGAATTGTTTGCGAGTTTAACCGTTCCGATAGGTATTTCATTGTTGATTTAACGCCTAAAAAGAGTTTATTATCGTTTTTTCTTCCGCCGTGAGGAGGTGGGCACGATTACTTGCGTTGGATAGGTGATAACAGGGGCACAACCCTCACGCGCCTCTCTTCCTTCTCCTTTACGCATTTCTCTCTCTCTCTCTCGGACAAAAACATATCAATAACTTACCTTTATTTGAAAGTTGACAAGAAAAAAGTACATACAGGTAAAGGTTACTGCTTGCCGTTTATTATTTATTTATTTTGCATCTGTGTGCTTTTATTGACGCCAGCTCATTTAAGTTCATTATTTGTCTATTTATTTATTTTTCTTCTTTGAAATATTAGATATTATCAACAAAGCAAGTTACTTGCACACTCTTCATATGTCTTGCGTTGCTGAGGAAGCTACTGGCCCCATCCAGGTGCGTGTTGGCGTGGATCGTCGCAACTTCGCGTACGTTGACTTCACCAAACATCGCCTTCACGAAGGGAAACCCGAAGTAATCATTACAGGTTTGGGGCGCGCCATTTCTGATGCGGTTGCCGTAGCAGAGATATTGAAGAATCAGGGCCTCGTCACCGTGAAGAAAATCACCACTTCACGGGGTAATATTAAAACTTCTTCCACATCAGTAATTGATAAAATTGAAATTCTGGTTGCGAAATCGAAGGAATTTGACGGAATATACGAAGAACAGCAAAAACGGAAAGATGAAAGTGCGGAGAAAGGCCAGTAGTCGTTTGCATTTTATACGTGTGAAGAGCATACTTGGACGTGGGAAAAGGGAGAAAGATGGTTATCTAAGCTCTAGGGGAATATAAGATATACATGAAAAGACTGGTTGGCTTTGTGGAACTATTTAAAATTTT